GTAGCCCAGGGATTAATTGTGCAGTTCTTAAAGTGCAAAAGGAACCAAACTTCACAGACTATGAAGTAGGCAGAAATAAAGACTGTAGAAGTTGCATGTGCTATAGGTTCTTTATATAAGTAATGTGGGTGAAAACTAAGTATGTTGTATACTGTATAAAAATAACAGGGCTTGAGAGAGAGTGCACAGAGAGGTCACACAGTTTAAGTTTGGGAATTGTTTTACTTGGTAGTTGAACCAATTTATAGTATTGTAATATAAAAGCAAAAATTGCTACTGTTCTTGAAGACAATGGCTAATAATGTAAAGCAATGCATCTGTTAGTTGCAAGAACTGGTAAGGAGGCAGTAGACAAGTAGTTTATGAGCCCATTGAACCTGCACAGTTCTCAGAGTCTCTCAGTTAATTACTCACTGAACATGACTTTAACCCCTTTATACTGAAACAAAAAAGGTTGATTATGCCTGTTTTGTTTTTTGTTTTTTTTTCTATGATAGGTATCAAAGGCAGTAGATTACTTCAGTGAAATAAAATTTGTTTACTTAAACTAGGATTTTCTATGAACAATTTTTAAACATTTGGATGTTTTTGTAGCTATAATCTGATAGAGCAGTTTGCTAGGGGAAATGCTGTTATCCACTGCACCCAAACTGCTCAAATGTACAGTTTGATGAACAGATCAGTACTGCCAGGTAGCTAGACAGGTAAAATAATGATACTGTAATTGAAAAGTATATGAGCCTAAATTTGTATTAGCCTGCTTTTCAATTTCTGTGCAGCACCAACAACGTGATCAAGTCTTCAACATACTTGAAGTTTCTCAATTGAACTCCAGCTTTGAGGTTCATGTTTTTTTTCAAACTTTCTCAGTGATTTTAAAAACTTTAAACAAACAAACAAAAAAAAAATAAATAAAAAAAAAACACCCTTTAACTCTTACATCAAGAGCCAGAGTCCCCAAGAAGTACTATCACCATGTGGTGACATTTTAGGATAAACATCAGGGGAGTGAGCAGTATTGCATATATGTATAATGTTTTTCTAATAGTTAAAAGATCAAGTAATATATTTCTATTACTTGATTTTTTTAACAGTAACTAGAGTGCATCATACTGTAAAGCAATACACATTCCAGACAGATAGTGTTTAGCAGTAAAAATGAGTTAAGAAATTCAACTAGTAAAGGTATGAAAAGGAAAGCTAGCTTCTAAGCTTCTTTTTTTTTTCCCTCCCTCTGTCAGGCTTGGGAAAAAATCCTTACTTGTTTTTATAACATCCTATTAAGTAGTAACATGTAAGTAAAACAAAACAAACAACAACTACTGTGTTCCAAAAGAAAACTGTTCAAAAATCAAGACATGAATGATCCGCAAAAAGCTATTTTTATGGAAATACTGTGCCTTAAAAATGTTACACATACAGAGCTAGGAAGATAAACATTGCCTAAGTGCAGTAATACAGCTTGAAATAGTGCCCAGGTGGCAAGTACGAATGACAGGAAGATAATTTGCACAGATTTTGAGAAGAGATATTGCAGGAGATGCTGGTAGGCACTAACATTTTGAGTAAGAACCTACAACTGGATGCATAGAAGAGCAATTGCATAGATGAGCAATAGTTCAGTCTGAGTAGGAGACTGGTTGAGTAGAAAACAGGCTTGTCTGTTTTCATCGTATAGTTTGTATATGTTGCAACTGTGATTAATGTAGAAATAAAGCCAAATAAGACCATCAGAAACGTGTGTTGTATTTAAACTCTTTCAAAACAAAACTCCTGGCAGGTGTTGAGTCAGCTGGTCTGAAGGGTAAGTTGGAGAGAGAGGTGAAAGAATTGGAAGCATGAATATCCCAACCAAGAATGGGAGAAGATGCCACAGAAGAGTATGGTTGATTGACTTCTGAAGTATTGATGGAGAACGTTCTGTAAACATCAGCTGTTAGTAGGGTGGTTGAAACTTTAATAGGGTGTTCTCTGTGTTTAGTGTCTGATCTGCCTGAAACAGGGTCTAAAGCAGCTGGAAAAGAGGACATCTTGTTTGTTGTCTTAGATGTGAAAGGAGAATTATATGGGTAGCTGAAACAAAAACGGATTTTTGCTGTAAATGGAAGTGTTCTTGTATTTCAATGCACAAGCTTGAGAGTAGGAAAAGGGAGTCAATGAGAACAGGTCCATAACAGATTCGGATGAAACATTGGAAAGAAAAATAAAGCTTTAAAGTATAATAGCAGAGGTTTGAGGATTTTTCTTAGTGCGGATGGAAAGGATACTAAAGGCATCAGATGGTAATAGAGTAATATCTCCAACAGAAGGAGAATAAAATACTTTCAGAGGGTTTTAATTAGTAGAGGGATTTAATTAGTAAATCCTCTACAATGTAGTTGTTTGAATATAAAAATCACATGCAACAAATACTAAATTTTGCAGATTTATAAGAAAGAGAAGCTAGAGGACAAATCTGAAGAGTAATAAATCTTAAGGCTTTCTTCATTTAAGGAATGAATTGAATAGTCTTCTCTACATTCATTTATTTTTCCAAAGTATTTTTATGATATTTGTGGCTTACAGTTTTTCAGTAACTACACCCAACACAGTCCAAAATAGTTTTTCAGTCAGTGAAAGCGTTGATGTAGCAAATGAAATGTGTAAGCAGTTTTGTGGGGGTATTTTCTCAACATTCTTGGCAGCAGAGGAGCTTGTAATCTTAGTGCTGTTTTGGGCAATCAGTCATGTTTTCGTCTATCTGTGAGAATTGGATCCAAGAAGGTGTGGTCTTGTGGCCAATCCAAACATATAATAATAGGAGCAGTGGATTTGTGGCACCACTATTCATATCAAGCTAATTAAGTTTCAGTGGTACCAAGTCTGGTACAACAGTCCTTGAATACGCCTATGCAGCAATGTCAAAAATCTTTTGGGGTAGAAGCTTGTAGGGCAACATTGCCTGCATCATTCAAATACAGAAAAATACGCAGCAGCCATATAACTTCTCTTTCTAAGGTGTTATAATTAACCCTAAAATATTTGGGTGAATCAAAATTTGAAGTAATAGCAACAGAATTTTTGAAGTAACATTTTTTTTGATAAAGTATTCCTATGAGGAATAACTGCTCAAACATACTTGTTACAAGAAATCACATTTCTAAAAGCAAATCATGTAAGCCTTTAATGTGATCTGTTTTGCTGCGTATGTGTGTTAAGTATTGGTTTTAAAAAAAAAACAAACTTCCACACATGATATAGAGTCAACCACCAATGTTCAAAATGTTATTAAAATACAGATGGAAAAGCTACGGTTTGAGAAAAATGGATTTGAAAAAGAAATAATGCGTTTAAATAGCTTTAACAGTACATGGTGCATGACAGAACACTAAATTTAGTACCTATCAACTAAAGGTTATTCTTTTCTAATTGACTCTTTAGAATACTATATACAATGACCAAAAATCTTTGATTGATCTGTGCCTTAGTATTTTGTCACCTTCAGTTGTGGAGATAAGAAGGGATAACTATGAGAGAAACTCGCAGGTCACAACTGTGCTTCAGTCGTACTTTCAGCAAGTTGCAAGCTAGTCTTCAATGCAGAGGTAACTTAAAGGGTCCTTACTCATCTGGTGGGCCAAAAATACACAGTTATGTACATAGTTCGTACTTGAGCTTGCAGGTTGTACATATGCTCAGGTGTATATGGAAAAAGATACAGATATGTGGGGGAAAAAAGTGAAATCAAACATGAACATTTAGCTCTTAGGTACAGTTCCCTCTAGTTGAATGAGGGATTTATCGAGTCAGTGCAAATGGTAGTTACGTACATTAGAGCCCAAATGGACTCCTTTCAAATTTTGTCTTATAAAGTACACCCTGTGTTAGAATTCCTTTCTTTCTAGAATGAATTATAAACTAAAACAAAGGAGTTTGGCTAATCAGAAATCAGCCAAACACTTCTGTAACAGGTGTTCCAATTCTTAAAAATTTTCAGTACAATTTAAGGCCCAACCTAATGTTACTATAAGAGGCAGATGTCAGAGCTCCAGAATAGGAGATATCGTGATTTATAATATGTTAACAGCTGAGAGGTCTGACATTATTGCAACCTGCTGATTTGAATGCTTTTTCACAGTTATCGATCTCGTATGCTGAGCAATTTAAAATATAGTTAACAAAAGTAAAATCATTGGTGATTAATTAAACTCCAAGGAAGATACAAGTTTTGAGGGTTACTTTTCAGTAGACGTTTGAACCAAAAAGAAGACAAAATGCTCCATTCAGAACGAGTAGTTACAAATGGTTTTTAAGAAGTGTTACCATGGTCTTGCTTGCAGTTATGTCCTTGAATAACTATTTCTTAACTAAAATGACACAATTTTTGTAGCCAGTGATCCATGACTTTAAATATTTGGAAGGGCTATTGATTCACTGAACTGGAAGAAATTAAAGATGTTGAGGCATATTTTCAAAAGTAGATTTACATGTATTATAAATTACATTAGATCATGTGTATTCTTTTTTACTGTTTAAAAAAAAAAAAGTACATGTAATACAACATTCAATTTATTTGTAGTAACCTTACCTAAACATTGTTTAGATCAGCTACATGTGTAATATTACAAGAGATGTTAACATCTACAACATCTGCTCTTGTTCCTGTGTCATAGTCCTCTGGATGTACCTGTTTCTGGTTGTGGTAGTAATCCTCTCTCTAGGTAAATTGTCCATAAGACCAATGATTTCATCAGCAAATTATCCAGAAAACGCCATCAGTGCACGTGGCGACATTTGTGCCACTGGTGGTTTTGTTGCCATTTCAGTGGTCTAATTAAATTGGCAGTTTTCTCTTGTGCCCAGCATCATCATCTCTCTTCCTTTGGCACCTTAGCTCAAACCTTCTTCCTTTTCAGTGTCCTTTTAGCTGAATATCAAATGCATTATTGATTGTTCCTCTCCCACCCTCCTCACTTCCACTCCCCTCAACTCTAAACAAATTTTTTTTTTTTGATTGGCAGTATCATCCAGACAAACAGCAGGCAGATGTGCCAGCAGGAGAAATGGAGGAGCGTGTGCAGAGGTTCATCGAAATTGATCAAGCGTGGAAAATTCTAGGGAACGAAGAGACAAAAAAAGAGTATGACCTGCAGCAGCGTGGTAGGTTCCTGCCAAGGAGTGCTGTAGTGGCAGCAGCTCTTTAAATAAGCAGGGTCTGGGAGTAGTAGTGAGATGGTATTTTAAAATGTTGTTTGTTGCTGAACCAAATGTTTCTTTCACTCTTGTCCTACTTTCTAACGTGGATCCATTATTTATAGCTTTCATTACACATACATTATCTAGTGAAAACATTGAATTACTTCCAACAAAACATTAGGTGGCGTTATTCCTAATAGTTTGAATATGGAATTTATACTAATTACAGACCTTAACTCTTTTTATTAAGGCAGCTTCATTATGTGTTAACTTCTTAAATCCAGGTCTTACACTCCATTTCACTGCAGTATTTTAGATATAGGTATTTTTCAGTTTAGCGTTCAGTGCGTATGGATTTATAAGCACTTCAGAATCATTAAGGCACATTCTGGTTGTGTGTGTTAAGGTAGCTTTCATAATTCATGCATAGTCTAAACTAGTCTTTTTTTTTAAAGCAGGTTTATAAATAATATTCCAATATAACACATTAACTAGGCAGCTCTAGCATGCATTTCTTTTTATACCTCTCAGAAAATTGCTTCTTAAAACAGTGACAGGCTGTTGTGAGAAAGAAAGGGGGGAAATGTAGGTCAGGTCTGTCACACATGGGCTACCATTACATGAAGTGATAGGCTGTCTTTCTGCTCTGGCCTCAGGATAGGAGTCCCTCAGCCTTCCATTAGAACCTTCAATAAATGTATATCCACCCTACATGTTAATGGGGGGAGTCAATAATAGTGTATTGCCTGTGGGGAAAACACTCAGTCGCACTCTGCAGTAACACACTCCGGTCCAGCATTGACGTGTAGCCACCACCACTTTTGAATGTGTCTGATAAAAGCCCACTGTCTCTGCAGCTTGTTATTGAATTCTCTTCCATTGTACATTGGCACACCATCAGACCTTTCTCTCTTGTGCTGATTTTTAACTCCCCTGCCGCTGCGGATACCAGAAGTTTGAGAGACAAAGGCTTAGTCATTCTGGTAGATATGCATCACTGCAGGATAAAAAGGGTGATATATAACTGTATATCCAGTATGAATTCTCTAGCTAAATAATCTTGTATTTCAGGCTTTGTGTGGGTATTGGAAAAGGGAGTGGAAGGGGAAAAAAAAAAAAAACTGAAAAGATAGTTAAGAAGAAAGGAAAAAAATGGATTTTGTGCTAATTTCTGATATAAACAGTATGATGGATCAAACTCAAATAACTTATCTCAAACTTATTTTTCAAATACCGCATGTGATGCCAGAACAATGCTATTGTACTTCCAGCATTGCAGTATCAGCTGTCTGCCATTTTCATAAATTATATATGCATAGAAAAACTGAAATATGTAATACTAAGTTTTAAGTCTTTTATGTATATAGCAAATTGTACCTAAAGTTTTAATACAGACCATGATGTTCTAATTTACTTGGATCAGGTTAATTCATTGAGGTAAAGAGAATTACATGAGGATTTAATAAACTATTTTGTTTACCCGTGGCATTTAAGGATGTTGCTGTAGGTTAGTTTTCACAATTTTATTTTACAGTATTTTGAAGGCTATCTGTATTGACTGAGATTCTTTTGCATCCAGACAAGTTCTTCTAAAAGCCAACTCAAGAACGTTGGAGAGAGAGAGAGAAAGAGTGTGTGTGTGGGGGGGAAATCAACAACAAAAAAAACAGCAACAACACACAACTGTGTAAATAAAGAAAACTACACAGGTGTTTGGAAATAGTAATGTAATGGGATGGATATATTTTAACATAGAAGGTCCTATTCAAAGAGGATCCTGTGCTTTAAACGAAGCCAGTCACATAACATGCATGTGCAGTGTCGATGCATTCTCTGCAGCATGTTCCCTAGCAGCAAAATGATGGTGAAATAAAATCTCGTTCTCTGAATGCCTGTCAAGTTGCTTCTGAAGTCATGATTCTAGACAAATTCATAGACACCACTGTAAAGGCTCACAGAAACAAAGGAACTGAGACAGCAGCTAAGGGGAATAGTGATGAGAGAGATAATAAAGCAAGTTAGTAACACTGCGAAGCCAAGGAAGCAGCATGTGAAGGATGCCAGTGTGCATGTGTGTGTGGCTGCCAGTCAGGAAGAAGTTCTTTGCACTGCAGTCTTTTTCCCATTGCATAGATTTTTATTTGCATGTCCTTTGCAATGTTACATAAAAGAGCTGTTAATTAGCTCAGGAATTCAGTAGCCAGAGAAGTTCCGAGAAGCTTAAACTCTGTGGTGCTATATGGTTTTTATTTTCTTTTTCTTTTTTGAGTCTTTGAGAATAATGAGCAAATGTGCTTTCTTATCTTAATACTGCATTTCTGTTAAAAGTATCACAGTGGTCTTCGGGGGATGGAAAAAAGGTTGCATCACAGTTTACCTGTGGGCTTTTTTCCCATCAATAGATTTTCCGTTCTTTGCTTGGTGTTCCTGTTTTCAAAAGATGAATATACAGTTAAAGTCAAGTCTGACAATAATAATTACCAAATATTCTTTCATTGAGTTTAGCTTGGAAACAACTTGTTTTGCAGTTTGTCATGGCAGAAGTCATTTGAGCCCTGAAAGTACATGCTTGTGTCACAGTTGGAAAGCATAAAAAACTGTTTGCAGGAAATCACGGGTCATCCTTATCTGTCTCCTGCTCAAAGTTGGCACAGATCAGTTGCTCAGACCTTCTCCGGTCTTATTTGGTTACCTCTACGGACAGAGGTAACCAAACGGCTGATGGCAGCCGTGGAAAACACAAACTTGGCTTCTCCTTGTATGCTGTTTCCCAGCCTTTGACCATATGGGTAGTCAACCAGACTTAATCCTGTAAGTTAGCACTTTGTACCAGGGAGCCCCAAAACAGACAAAAGACATCAGATGCAATCTCAAAAATGTTGAGTGGAATCACCCCCTTCACCTGCTGGCTGCCCGCTCCTCATTTCAGTACATGGTTGGCTTTTGCTGCAGGAGCACCCTGCTAACTTGTGTTGAACCTATTATCCACCAGAACCCCAAGGTTATCTTCTGGAAAACTGCGAATTAGCCAGTTGTCTCCCAGACTTACTGGTGCATTTTGTTTTTCCATCCCTATGGTGGGACTTTATCTGTGTTAAACCCTTTTGTGTTCCTGTCAGCCTATTTCCATATCCTGTCAAGGTCCCTATGAATAGCAGCCTTGCATCTTCTATGGATTTTTGCTAACTTAAATACAGAGGAACCGTGTATCTAAACAATCGCATAATTAAGATAAGGAATTTTACTAATTATTTTTAACTTTTTTCTATTAAAGATTGAATGATTAATAGGTCACAAGTAAAAATAATAAATTAGTGACTTTGATTAATTTCTGTCACTAGATGTAGCAAGTAAAGCAAAATTAATAATGAGACTGACCCTAGAATGAGTTGTTTGGTGTATTCTTTTGGGGTAGAGGTGGGAGAAATTTAAGAATGTGATGTTTTTTCCATCTATGGCTCCAGCAAGGTTCTATACTACATAATGTGTCTTCATATGTGATGATGGACAGAGGTGTCCATAAACAGCATGTGTTACTAGGTTAGAGGATGTAATCAGCACTGGATGTGTTCTCATCTGAACATGTACCTCCTTTTGATTTTCAATTTTTTGAATTACACTTGTAGAAAAATATTATAGATTCCATCATCTTACAGAGGTGTGGTTATAAATTAAGTGAAAAACTGAGCTAAAGAAAAGCTAGCTGCTACTTCTCTTGCTCCTTTCTCTTCTTCTTCTACTATAGGAAACTGAAGAGACTGTTTTGGAGATGGTTACTGTCCCTTTAATCTGCAATTCCCTTCTGCCATAAAGGGATGGTACTGCATTAGACATCAAGATACCTTACATAATTTGGTAAAACAAGATGCCAGAAGAATAGCTTATAAATCCACTGGAATAATAAGCCAGAAAAGAAAGACAAAAGCCTACAAAAACACTTAATAGCTAACAGAAATGATAATGGAAAATGATAATGGAACACCTTGACTACCTTATTACAAGGGGAAAAAAAATAACATAGTACATTTTAATTGTTTATTGTTAAGAAAATTTCTTCTAAAACGTACGTATAGACCAAAACTAAGCTGTTAGCATGGCTGTTAATTTGGGCCTTTCAGTGTGCTAGGTCATACTCCTTAGTGACATAACTATATATTCTTCTCTAGCCATGGATTTTATGGCTGTAGACCTCAACTCATGCTGGAACACAACCCTTTTACTGCAATTAACTTTGGAGTCGATTCTAATCTGCACTGGCTATAACCGAAGCTGTTTTTTGGACAAAATTTTTTGTTATGAAAATTCTTAAAAAAAAGTTTTTATAATTTCAGATTAAAGTATGCTAATTTTATTTTACACAGCAGACTTGAACTTCAGTTACTGTTTAAAAATAAATGGACTATTAGAAAAAAAAGGAACTTCTGTAAATATCCAGGGTTTGAGTATTATGATGAATTTGCATTTGATAATACATAACTTTTGTAATGTTTTTTTCTTTTTAAATCAATCCTAAGAATATACAACAAATAGTTAGAAGAGTCTTTTGGGTACTGTGACTATCTTTACTATTACCATAAATTGTTAAAGGGGTTAAATTTCCATTTACTGTTTGCGACCCCCTTCCTACAACTCAGCCTTAAATAGCCCAAGAAATATTTATTGTATCCTCAAGTAAAACTTAAATACCTTTCCCCTTTTACAATTTCTGAATGACCCAGCAAGGGCTCTAGTAAAGCTTTACTGAACCATGCCGCTAATAGTTATTTAATGTTGTTCTGTAGCCTGAAAGAATCTCAGTAGATTTTTCCTTTTAATCTCTTTGAATTGCAGGCTCATAAACCTCTCTGATGAGTCTGCCAGTGTTTTCTTAGATCCTGCAGTTGAGACAATGGAGCTGCAGAATTCTTTCACCTCTTGTTGTCGGACAAATCCAATAGATGGCAAAATCAGGCAGGCTCTACTTCTTGTGAATTAAAACTTGTTTTTCAAGTTATGATAGATAATCAGGTCTGCACAATTTTCTGGATCTGTTCAGAAATGCGTTTCAGAAAGTGTGTTCTACAGACTGAGCACGTATTGCATGTAAGTAAACCTGCTAAGCCTAACTCAGTACTGGTAACAATACCAGTCTTAAGTAATGTTCTCATCCTGCAAGGGAATGACAATCAGGCAGTGGTTTATTTCAGAGAATCACCACCAAGAGAGACGTGGCTCTAAGATGCGGAGTAACAATGTAGATAAAATAAGGAAGAGTGCAAGGAATATTAGAGTAACTAACATACTCTGTGAAACCATTAGGTTTGTAGTTCTGCTTGTAAGTCCTCCAAATTCATATTGAGATATGCCTCTGTTGAAATAGTAAGCCAGATCTATTTGTGCTGTCCGAAGGTATTTTAGATTCAATAGTGTATTGAATCTGAGAATGAGAAAATAAAACAGCTATGTTCAACTCAGAAAGTTTCTCCAGCCTGATGCAAACTAGCAAATAACTGCAGCATACAAAATGGAATGACCGAGAGATTACTGGATTATGTGTGAAGTTTGGAGACGTATTCAAGTTGAGAGTACTAATTGAAAATTTGAGATAACCAGTGAGTCTACTCAGAGTTGGAATAACCGTCTCAGTTCAGTTAGGGAATGTTATAAGCAATGATTTTTTTCTGTTGATAATTTTTAATTACTATTGCACTAATGAAATGGAAAGTTTGGTTGAAATTCTGTTCGCTGGGCTTTGTACTTTGCTATATTTGGAATATGAAAGAGGACAGATTATTCCTTAGCTTTCTTCTTCATTACTTCATGAGAAACTTTACTCAGAAAGCATGGTAACCTTGTGAATTTGCATCTCATCAGTTCATGATGGCATATGGCCCATCTGGTCATAGGAAGACATATCCTAGACCTCTATCTCCAATCCTATAAAGTTTCTTTTAAGTTAGATCCCGCTTCATGAATGCCAAATAGAACAGCCTGATCTCTTTTTAATTCAACTTTTTGCTACCTATAAATGAAGCTTAAGAACATGGATTCTTCCTACCACCTAAGAGACCATTTTTCTTTGTGATTTTTTTCTCCTAAGCGCTCAAGAAGACCAAACAACAAAACAAAACACAAAAGTGAAATAGGAAGTGTTTGCATTTTGCATACTGTCATTGTAATTTCAGTACTGTTTATTTCCACTGCAGTGGGGAAACCTGAAGGAAGGAGGGTAGCTAGGTAGACCTCAGTTTGATTACTGTGGTGTTTTTTTCTTCCTAAAAAGAGGAGGAGAAATCTTCACTTCACACAAGGCCTGCTGTAAAAGAGGCATACTTGTTTTAATCTTCTTTAAAACTAATTTAGATGAAATTCACTCTTAAGGATCTATAGCATATGTTTCAGTTGCAATTCAAATAGATAGCAGTTTGGTTGCTGAATAAAGCCTGGAACTTTTTGATATTTAAAAAAAAAAAATTGTTTCAATCGAAACAAAATTGTTAGTGGTATTTCTGAAAGGTTTACAAATGTTTATGTCCTAATGATATGATTTGAATTCTGTCTGCACTGTGTTCTTAAATAGATTAAACTTCTGCTTCTTGGCTAGTATCATATTTGTCAGTATAGCAGTGTACAAAATGTGCTGCCTTGCAGGTTTTATTTTCATACATATATATATATATATATATACACATTTTTTTACATTGAATGACAACTGAATAAAATTCATACAAATTCTGGGAGCAGGAGCTGAACCCTAATCACCAAACTATAGTGATCTCTGTGTCATGCCCTCTTTGTTCTGGTCAATTTCTTTTCATAGTGACAATTTGCATAGAAAGAGGAGACCATTCTTACCTGGATAATGCTGTATCCAAGGAGATGCACATAAAACCTCTACAATCATGGCTAGAAGAGGTAGCTGTGAAGTCCCCTTCTTTATCCTCTTCAGTCCAGAGTAAAGACCAGTTGCATAGTAGAAGCTGGAAACCCTTTAGAAGAATACCTTACAATCTAGTGGTTGGGTAGAGCAATCTCGTGGGAACTAAGAAAAGCTATAATCTGTAACTCCAACTTTTCCAGCAAGTGCTCAACAAGTAGTTCTAGAAGTTCTTTCACTGCCATCTTACTTTTCATAGAAAGCAGTTGATAACATTGTGTTCTGTAGTAAACTTCATGTTATTAAACAAGAAAACTCACTTAAAAAATTAGTTATCATAGGGAAGGGGCTACTTTCTCAATAACAACTGCATTTAAACCTGAAATAAGCACTAAGCCACTGAGTCTTGCCAAATCAGACATTTCTGTGTACGTGCTGAAGTTCAGCTTTCAGGCATTCCTGGTTCTCTAAGAAACTACAGCGTTTGTGGATTTGGCACTTCAGGTATCAGGCAGCATTTGGGAAGTTTGGTGAAGTAGGTTATCAGATTTGTTTCTAATATTACCACCTATAATTTTGAGCAAAATCTGACATTGTTAACCTGGTGTGAACCATGGACATTAAATGTGAATATGCTGATAAATTACAAAAGTCAATTTGTATTTATATTGCATAATTAGCATTTGACAATTTGAATTGAATTACACACTTATTTTCATGCTGTGTTCAATGTTGGAAGAATCCAGGGGTTCGAACGGCAATAGATGTTAGGTGTGCAGACAAGAACTGACATTCTTTCTGTATCGAGAGTCTCTTCGTTATAAAAAGAACACTAGGACTAATCTTCCCCTAAAAGTGTTCTTTGTTTATCTTTTGTTAGGTATATAATTTTCCAGGAATCTTAGTGTTCTTCTAATAGGGAACCTTAACATCTATTTTGTGCTTTTTTTGAGGTTCTTATTTGGCCCCTCCTTTCAAAAGGAGAATGGACTGCATAGGGAGATGGTGAAAACCTGCCTGGATGTGGTCTTGGGCAACCTACTGTAGCTGGCCCTGCTTGTGCGAGCTGGCCTTTCTTGTGCAGCTCAGGAGCTAGGTGATCTAGCCAAGTCCTTTCCAACCTCCACTGTTCTGTGATTCTGTGGAAAGTAGAGGTAAACACACCCATAGTTAGAGCTTGTGGAAGTGTAGTTACAGCTAGGCTTTTTAAGGGTGTTCATACCAAAACAAAAGTTTGGCCCTAATTTCACGTAATCATTTGGGATACGTATGAAAGAACTGTTTCCAGTAGTGCTCTAATTTCAGTAACACATCTTCACCATTCACTTCTCCTTGCGACAGAGTGACATATTCCAGCAGAGATGGAAATTTTAGAGAACTGCTTTTTTTACTGATTATAAGGGCTAGATTTAACTCTCGTAGGGACCAGATTTACTGCTAAGTATTAAAAAGTGCAAACTTAGCAGGACAAAATAAGAACTTACTTATATATTACCTGAGCTGAACATTTGTCACCATTTTCTTTATAGAAGATAATCTGACAAAAGAATGGCCACTACATGCACAGGTTTATCTTGAGGATATGTCCTGGAATGAAGGTGAGTGCTGCCTTGTTCTCAGTGCCTTTCATTGTCATTTGAAATGCTTTCTGTTTCTTCTGTGTCTCATACCATTATGTTGTCTTATTTTACTTTTAACCTTTCCTCTCCCCTTATTTATATTTTCCTGAGATCTAGTTGCTCTGTTCACCGTGGTCACCTGCTATATTTCTATTTTTGTTAGTTCCAGTCAATACTGTATTCTGAAAGTCTACTGAAAATAGCACTGTTGAGTTGGAATTGGGACTTGCCTTTGTGATACTTGTTTTGCATTCCCTCTTTTTTTTTTTTTCCTCCTCCTTCTCTTCTCTTTGGGCATGGAGAATTTGCAGGACCACTTTTCACCTACGTCTCGCTTTGTAGAGAGAATTCACCTTTCCGGATTCTCCCAGAACATCTCATGCATCTTCTTGCTCTTTCTGTGATTGTGGAGTTGACTTTTTTCTACCTGATTTTTCTACCTGACAGTGTGTTACTTCTCTCCTTCATGTTACTCTAGTTTTTATCATTTACTTGCTTTTTGGAGTAATGGCTAATGTTTTTTGTTGTTGTTAAGTTAGGAGAAATGCTTTTGTTTCTTCTGTTTTACGTTTCTTTTGAGTTAGGAGTTTGTTCTGGAATAATGTTTGATATCTGTATGACTAACACTCCTCAATTTGTTCTTAATTGTTCTCTAAAGATTTTGGTACTTTGTCAGAATCAAGCTCTTATTCTCAAGTATTCACTGATGTAGCCCTTTTAATACGTGTCTGTTTCACTGACATGCTCCTTTTTATTATTTTCTCTTTAAAAGAGAGTACACTGACCCTGGCTGTTTGGCATTAAGATTGTCTCACAGTCACAGGAAAAAAAACTTTAAGATTATACCTATTGCTTGGACAACAAACGGTAACATAGATATTGACATTCACAATCCAGCAGTGAGAGGTCACACACAAATTGTTTTCTTTTCAAGAGCAGCTCTGTGAAGAATAATCCAAAATAAATTCTTGATTCATTGTGAGCACTAAAGGTTTTTTTTTCTTTTTTTTTTTTTTGGCAGATGAACGATGTTACACTCTTTCATGCCGATGTGGTGGGAATTATGCAGTCTCCGAGAGTGAAACCAAAGATGTATCTTTGGTTTGTTGTGACACATGTTCACTTGTTATTGAGATCCTTCAATGATTGTTCCGTCATGCACATTGAGTTACGAACTTTAAAAATGTTGGACAAACAGGACAGTATCCTCTAAGGGATGTATGTTAAAGAAAAGGGGGATGCTGCAAGAACAAGTTCAGGCAGGAATTAAGAGAGGAAATATGCCTATTTACTTATTTATTAACATAACTCTGAGGATATGGTGCTTGTTGTTTTTTTTTTGCTTCTTTTTCAACTAAAGATCAATTTATTAAAAAAGAACCAGAACGCTGTTTTGTATAACTGGACTGTATCTCATGATCTAAATGACCTTTATTTCCCAGCAACCAGCAAAGTAGCTTCTTTCAGTCTATCGGCTGCAGGTTGGGCCCTACCTCTTAAGTTAAATCCTTTTGAAGGCTCAGGTGACAAAATTTAATCAGGAGGCATACATATGAGAATGCTTTGAACATAATGAGTAATAAAGCACATTAATGGGAAAAAGGAACGTTTTCTATTTCTGTGCTAAATATTTTAGTCACCTTTAAAATCTTTAAAGGACTAAGCCTTAGAAAGAGGTGACAGAGTTGCAGATCTAGCAGGCACTGTACCACGTAGCAGGCACACTGCCGATTCACTGTACTATACAGTGCATCTACATTAACTTTTCAATTTGGACCAGTAGTATACTTTAGAATTGACTTCATCCATCATCTGAATGAATGCAGTCTTCATTCCATAGATGAAAACTAACCAGGATTGTGTGCTTTGATCCCTGCTGGAAATATACCGGCTCAAACTAGTTGAAGAAAACCCTACAAACCACATTTGGGTAAATGGGCAGCAGATCCTGAAGCCAGTTGTTACTCTTGTTTCAATCCTAGTGTGCCACAATACTTATGAAGGTAGATATAACTTAAGTGTGTTTCTAGGTGTGTGATAATAGTGCATTGCCACCTTCATCCCTTGTTGTCAGTCAGTGTAAACTTTGTTTTGTAGGAAAATACAAAACTTCAAATAAATCCAAGCACTTACTGTGAATAACCAGAGGAAACAGAGTAAGAGGCATGTCATTTTTGATGATGGCAGCGGTGTATCATTCCTGATTTCAAGGTAGTTGTAATCTCAGAAAGAGACATCTTTGTCAAGTAATACTTGTGTCTATTCTAAATAAAAATAACTCAATTTATTTCAGTATAAAATAATATGGAAGCTGGCAATAGACACTTCATTCTTTTAATCATCAAGAAATCTATGGCCATTGGGGCTTGCACGTAGAAATCCAAAGTCATTCAGAGGCCATATCTGTAAAATGAAGTAACAGGAAATTTTAATCCCAACCCAGAGTTCAATATTTTCATTTGTTAGTGTTATAAGCTTTTCATAAACTGCACCATTTTTCAGCTTTTTGACTGGGAGGCTATAGCACAAGCATTGAAACTTTTCCTACTTATATGTTTTCTTTACTAGGATTAATATATATTGCATATGAGGAGGAATCCTAATTCTATAGCAGCTGTAGACAACACTAGTGTTTGCACTGAATTACTTATATAAATTAAACCATGGGGGGGAAAAATCTAAGGATTTATAGGTAAGCTTATACCATACAAATGGGTATAAAGGAGGAGTATGCCTGCCTATGTCAGGGGGGTTCAACCAAGGGGGCTCCTCTGAGAATGGGATAAAGGGAAAGAGCACAAATCATGATCCAAGTACAAGCACAAGTGTCAGAGCATGATGCTCAACAGTAAGAACGAACTTTCTCTCCAGAAGTTAACCACGTAGCTGTTCATACTACTGAACGCTCCCAGGAGTACTTTCCTCTGAACATTCACTAATTACATGTAGGCTGGCCTTAGATGCAAAACAAAAATAAATAAATAAGTAGGCAATGGAGGACATTCTTTAATACCTTGTCTCCCTTGACTGCCTATGTCTTTTCACTACATATTCTTTCAAAGGTAGCACAAGGGGATCAGCAGGGAAAGAAATGATGCTGAAGGATGAACACCCGTCAGTGGCTCTAAGCCTATAAAAATCTCATGCCCCCCGCTCAAGATGAAGCGACCTAGACAAAGGAAGATGATGTGCTACACTGTTCCAAAAGGATCTGCTGGTATGGTGTTTATCTTGCTCATTTTTCCTTAGAATTTGATCCTATAGAAGGTATGAAGTCACCTTCCAGGAACAGCAAATTCCTCTTGAACTGAAGTTACGGAACATCCACAGCACAGAAAGAGCCTTTCTGCTTTCTGTGTAGAGTAAAAAAAAATGATTTTCTCAGCTTGCAAGAGGAAGCTTGTGCCAACGTTCAGTATTTCAGTCTCCATGACTGCTCCTGAGTGGTAAAAAAGAGGCAAAGGCCAGTAAGAATGGGAGATTGAGAAGCAAGAGACAGCATCTACTTGGAGCTAGACTGGTACAGTGTGCTGCTAGAAGTTTCCTAGACTTGTGTTCATCAGGCCCCTTCTAGCACTGAGGTAAGTTACAACAATCAGTTGGATTGTACCTAGGCCCTTGAGAAGATAAAAGGATGAGTGAGTTAATTGCAGGACCTCAAGCTCTCTGGATCTGGAAAAGACTCAAAGACCTCTTGAGCAAGTATCTTTGAATATACACGTCCTTTTTTTGCAAATGCACTTAAGGAAGAGCAGGAGCAACGTTTGCTGACACACAGAAATACACATATGGCTCTACATGCATACTAACAGTGAGCTATTTTAAGTTCCAGAGAAGAATATAGTGTTATGAAACAATAACAGAAGAATATTTGTGGTCTTGGCTAGAAGTAAAGCTACAGAATTCACGGTTCTGCTGTAGCAGGGTGTGTGTCAAGTCTTTCTTTGGCCTCAAAGGAAAACAGGAGTAAAAGGAAATAGGAATATTCCATGAAATGCAAGCTGATCTGAGTAAATGCCCAGAGGAGGGAGTTTCTTAGGCCATTTGCTACTACACAACTAATTTGAAGCTATTTAAATCACACCGTCTGCAACTTGACCTTTCAGCGACAGTAATCAGATGTTTTATATAGTGTTTTGGCTATTTGGTTTCAAATTCATCACAGTATTCTTAGCAGTGGATTTAGAATGAAAATGTTTTATCTGGTTTGCATGCAGGAGGGAATCTGAGAAACTACTTAGAACGTTTGTTCCATCTTCTTTCTATGTAGAACAAAGACATGCCATTTTGTGTAATAATTCCCAAGTCCTCAACTTATGACAGAAGTTGACTCTGACTTGGTGGTTCAAACTGGCTAGTCCAATTAGCGGCTGTTTCCTTTTGCCCTCTTTGGTTTGGCCTACATCGATCTGATCTGATGGATGGGGCATAAATGGGGCTAACTAGCTCTTTTGAAGATACTTGCTCGGTAGGTCTATTTCTGACATGAAGCATATGTCCAGGGAATGCACAGAATATCCTACTTAGGACAGGATGAAGTGTGAGCTCTATCAAAGCGCGGAGTCCTCCCCTCAGTGGGGTTCTACTGAATTTGCAGATTCTTATATTTCGGAGGTCTTTTTGTGGTATGAGCTTGGCTATCTAAGTGGCAGCTGATGTGCTTGCAGGGAGAAAAAGGGGGAAGTATTCAAATATCATTACTTCTGTATGGGTTAAAAATTGGTGCAACAACATTGAGAATTTTAGGTCTAAACTTCACAGGTAAACGTTAGTTCTTTATGAAGTTTATCTATGTTTTGCCAAGAACAGATTGCCTAAACAAATGTAATACATACTCTCTTCTGTTGAAATCCCTTACTTCCAAGTTAGATTGGCAATAACTCTCTTGTTAATAGTTCTCTGCATCAGTTAATAAAAATGTAATTTAGGATTCAAAGGCACTGTTGTATCTGCTTCTCCTAACTCCAGTGTAAGAGAAAACCATGTAAGGTTTGATTTTCAAGACAGTAGGAGATTTTTCATGAAAGAGAAGCCAAGCCTCTAACAGACTACATTTAAAAAATGGTTTTCTTGGCCAGTGGTCTACTCGTTAACTACCCCCACATAGAAAAGCTGTATTCCGCAGCTTTTCATTGTAATGATTGATAGCAACATACAACAGCTAGATACTGTAATCTGATGTGAATTAGCATAAACAACTCAAACTGTAAACAATCTTTTGAGAAATAGTCATTTTTTGCTCTTGTAGGTACCATATCTCATTACAAACGAGATCTCAAAAAAGTAAAAAAAAGAGATCTCAAAATAAAAAGGTAATTTTAAAAATAAAATAAATCTCATTAAAATGTTAATAATCACTAGCCTATGCATCATCATAAAATAACTGCTATAAAATATGGTTTAAAAATTATTTTGATGAAAGATCAACTGATGGCATACCATCTTTTTAAACAGATGATATTCTGCAGTTCTAAAGTACTTCTTCAATATGTAACATCTGTAGTGTAAATTCCATTCATTTTTAGAAGCTTATTGCTTCCTCAGCTTAGAGGTCAGTCCTGTCAGTCACCTCATTAAAGTCTTTCAAACATCTTGCTTGGTAGGGTACAAGCTGAATGCAAATCTATTGCTGTGGAGGTATACTGTGAAAAATTACGGCTGTCCACATTCTTAGATCATTCATATGTACATTATTTGCTAACAGTCTCCTTAAAGTAGTAAACACCATTTTTCCAGTCCTAACCCATCAATTACAGGTGGTGTTTTAGTTTTTGTTTATTTTTATGATTAATACCAGATTCCAGTTAAAAGGGCTGTCAGTATATTAGCATGATCTGTATTCTACCAGTTAATAATCCAAGCTAAAACTTGACTCTCATAGAAATAGGTCTATTTAGAATTAGCATTTTTAGCTCTGGTGTACGTGGTACGGCAAACAATACAGAGATGGAACAAGAAACCCTCAGTGAACACTAAGGTAGAATTCAAAGCAAATGCTATCCGTAAGGACCAGAGGTCAGGCAAAACTTAGTGGTGGTAAGGGGGACATATTATTTCAGGTTTAGTAAGCAATTAGTGATAATGGTCAGGAGATGCAAGATTGAGTTTTGTTGTTGTTTGGTTGGTTGGTTTGAAAAGTCTAAAGTTGTGTTCCTAAAAACTATTAACAGATCTTTCTAATTTAACAAAGTTTCTATATTTGATCTCCTTTGTGCGTGTAATACAGCTGTGCTAAATTAAATTTACGGTTGTGTTGCAATATATGGAGAACAGTTTTTAAAGCCATTTTTCATTGTTCTGAGTGTCTCCACTTTAGCTTTTGAAAAGCTGGTACATAACTCTATACATTCTCCCTTGTTTCTTAGATAAAACTTCTTATGGAGAGGAAGTTGCCTTAGCTTCTTTTTGATAAATGAGTAAATTAATAATGCAGATAATATGAAAAGGTAATTTAATATGAAATAAAGCTGTAGAATTACTGGAACAGGAGAAGGAGCCATGGAGGTTTATACAACACAGCGCTAATCAAAGCTTTTTTTGTTTTTGTTTTAATAAAGAAGTGGAGGACAATTGCAGTAGCACAGATTTGACTTTACCATTAAGGATTTTTCACACATTAAAAAGCAGCAAGGCCAGTGCACACATCTAAATTGTGTTTGCAAGTCCTAGAACCATAACATTTTCTTCCATCTTTGTTTTTTCCACTATGGAACTGGATTTCTCAAATTACAATAACAGTGAAATATGAAGCTGCCCTTTTCTACCATTTTGCAAAAGCAAGAATCAAGGTAAGGATGCAGTGTATTTTTCACGCAGTGGTCTATGTTTGTATAAGGTTTTGATTTGCTTGCGAAATAATTCAGTTTTCAGAGGCATTGACTGCTCAAAGAATGGTTTTCAAGAAAAAAAGACTAATTTTGCCTCAAAAATTCTCACTAAACATTGACCAAAATATTGTTGAAATATCATTTGACGGAAGTGTCTTATGTGTTTGAGCTCTTTCACATTTGCTTTGGCTAGACAGTTAAGGCAGCAAATGCTAATGCCTAACATACAGGCATTACAAATGTCTTAATGCAAATATTTTTGGTACTGTAAATACCTTAAAACAAATGCGTCCTCTTATCAGTCCATAAGGAACAGGTCCATAGCACCTGGAATCAGTAGAATTCCTGAGATTATCACCTTCTAACCAAACGTGTCCTTTAGGCACCTATGATAAAGCAGGATTGAATTGAAATGTAATAGGAAAACAGAATAAAATGGTATTAAGCATTGTTTGCCTTATATTGCCTAATTTCTGTATACTATATTTCATGACTGTATAATGAACTAATTTTTTATTGAATCTAATAAGACACAGTGCCAGGTTTGGAGGGATGAGAGGGAGTGCTCCAAAGTATCTGTTTTATCATGTGCTCAAAAAACAATGGTTTGCAACAAAAAATCTAAAATGAAGATGTAAGAGGTTAGACCAATGTGACAGGGTCATTAATTTAATAGACTTCAAAAGAGGTCATTAGGATGTTGACTGAAAATCTGCCCTCCTGTCGCAGTAACAGCATGAACAGGGCAGCCACACACTCATCAACATCCTGGGGCCAGCACCAAGGCTAGACCTGTTAGTAGATTCATGATGAACTAACTGGTAATTGATTGTGACATCAATTACGAATAATCTCATCATTTTATCGGAGTAGGCTTGTCAAAGTTCTAATTAAGATCACAGTTCATTCTATGTGCAGGCAGAATCCACAACACATTATATTGCAATAATGATGATCACAAAACAGCAAATCCCTTTTTATAATTTGAAAATTAATGACGGTGACCTTATACTATACGACAAAGACCTTTCATTACCTATATATATTATGCATTAACTATATTACATACCATAGATTCATGGCACTCACTGACTAAATCACTGACAAAATGAGGAATAGCAACGTGGCTGTATTAGTTAAATAAGAGTGCAAAGCTTTTTTAAGTGAAAAAGTTGCTACTGTGTATCTTAAGATTTCTGCTTGGAATATATGACACTTTTGACTGAAGAAAAAAATATATAGATAACCTCTTACAGGTTATCAAGTAAAATGTTTAGTAATTGTCCTTCTAGTCTGTTTTTGTTTGGAAAATTCTAAAGCAGGCCAAAAAATGCAAGTAGTAACATACTCTCAATCTAGGTAACACTTAACATGGACTCTAAGGCAATATACATTTTTTCTAAAACCAAATATAGAGTTGAAAGGTTACTATTCCACAAATTCAGAACAAAAAATAGAGAAACAAAAATAAAATAAATCCCAGATTTCAAACAAAACTCAGCCTGAGCAGTGTAAACACTAATATTTTAGAAACAAGACCCACGGACTCATAAATACAGTAGTTTACTTACACAGAATTCTAGGATAACAGACTAAACAGAAAAAAACACCACTGTAGTGTCTAGTCCTGGCTGTTACCAGACCAGGAACCAAGAGTGGCGACCTACCCAACTGTCCTTCTGTTGAGCCGTGGCAAACGTATAACATCCAGGTGAAGAACCAATAGTTTGTCTCTAACACTAGCAAAAAGAACTGCTCATCATGGAAAGCATCCGGGAGCCTGTCCATCATCTCCCAGCTGTCCAGGGTAGGTGTACTAGGCACGTCAGAGGGTACATCCCTGCCTACTCCTTTTAGAATCTGTATGTGGAGCTGTTGGCAAGGAATATGTCTAAACCCTTTTGAAACCTGCTTTACCTTTGTTACTGTGTAGGCTTATCAGATTTCAGTAGTTAAAGGGGTCATTTAAACAGGATCAAGGTCTCTTTTCTCGGGTAGATAATGATAGGACAAGGGGAATGGTCTTAAATGAACAGAGAATGAATTCAGATTAGTCATTAGGAAGCAATTCTTCACTGTAAGGGTAGGGAGGCACTGGAACAGGTTCCCCAGAGAAGCTGTGGATGCCTCATTCCTGGAGGTGTTCAAGGCCAGGTTGGATGGGGCCTCGGCCAACCTGATCTAGTGAGTGGCATCCCTGCCTATGGCAGGGGTTTGGGACTGGGTGATCTTTAAGGTCCCTTCCAACCCAAGCCATTCTGCAATTTCTGGCACATGCATGGGAGAGTTTTCTCTTGGAAGACCAGTTGGTTTCAGCTAGATGACTTTTGCCGCCCTCCTAGTATCAGTGTTGGAACTGGAAAGGTTTGGTTGATTTGCCCACTATTGGGCAGCCTTAAGGGACCCCAACTATGTTAGCAGGACAAAAAGTTCTGTTTACAGCTATTATATCCCAACTTGCAGGTTGGTAGATGGCTTCCCTGGGACGATGAGAAAGACTCTTGGCACTCCTCCTTTCTTCCTCTTATCTCAGATAAGGATGTCCAAAGTAATTTCATACCTCTCCACTGAGTGTAACAAGAACTCTCTTTTTCTGTAGGAGATGCAAATCAAACCTGACTAATTTTTAATGGCTAATTAAAAGCTGCAACCTGCCAAGCATCTCAAAGTTCTCTGTAGTACCATTTTCCACATGTCAGAGCTAACAGAAGTCTATCAAAAAACTACGTTTAGGGCTGTCATTAACATGCACCTCAAAGAAAATACACCAGGACATAGAAACCATGTTGCTGCTACCTAGCCAGCCTTGACGTAGGAAACAGATTCATCATGAAAAATTAATACATGCATAGATCTTTTTAAAAATAAAATGCAATATTATCTTAAATATAATTATTATGATCCCACTGAAGAGCAATGAGATTGAACTATAGCATCAAAGGGAGGCATAACATTTTTTAAAGTATTTTAACTGTTGGACTGTAAAGGAATACCTAATACATCTTCCCCCCTACAAGAATAAACCTGCTAAAGGATGTGTAGTAGCGATGCATGAACAAAACTAAGTCCACAAATGCAGAGCTGGCATCATCAGCCATTGTAATTTAAAAACAATCTAAGGGAAAAGGCAAAGGATTCTACCCAAGCAACATTACAAACAAAATTACTAACAAGAAATCAATTAAAAAAAAAGTAATATGCAGGTTCAAATGACCTGCATAGCACATGCATTTCAGTGTGTTGGGAGCTAACATTTTGGTAGGTCTCTTTCTGATAATGTACTGCCATTCCTATTTTCCTCAAAAATTCTGTGATATACAGCCCATTTAGAACGTCCAGCAGCAATTGTTAGGTCAACTGGATATTCATCTTCACCATGCCCACCAGAAGCATTCACTGTGCCCACATCCTACACAAGGGTTGCTTTTCAGATGTACACTGCGATATAAAGCAGCATTCTGACCTTTCCAGTGCAATGTCTCCTGCCCAGCACCTCCCAGAATTACAAGTCACACGTCAAGCTACTGTCATTTTGAAGGACTGTCTATATCAGCAAATACATAGAAAGGAGAAAAATGAATTACTACAAAAGGAAGATTTTTTTAAATGAAACAAAGAAGCAAATGCTTCACGTTTCTGAAAACATCACGTCTTGCAAAATGTTACTGCTTTACACACAGAATACTACCAGCCTCCCTTCTACTGAACTGGTTCTCGTGCTTTCTCACTTTTCCTGACTCATAAGCAGGACGTGAAGCTCATCTGTTACCATGTGAAAGAAATTAAGGACTTCATAATGGAACAGAATCTAACCATTTACAGACCCTTCTCATCTGTCTTACATACTCCTAAAGCATTAACAAAAAATAAAAATGCTTTTGCCACCTGTGGCGTATCACTCACTACTTCTAATACTACTAATAATTACTAAGAATTTGTTGTCTAAACAAAATGTTCATAGTTTGCGTTCCAGCTAGAATATATGCAATAATGTATGCTCCTATATCCTGAAATTCACCGCTTCTGGTAACTATGTTCTCCATGGAAAGGACCCTATGCCTCTAAATGTGTCATAAAGAGTATTGTCACAATGTATGATTCATCTAGAAATAATACAGTATAATACCTTTGTATAGTGCTTGTCCATCATCTAGGCACTTCACTACAACCTAGAATTAAGACAAGCAGTAAAAATCACACAAATTACATGAAAATGTTAAACCAAATACTGGTGACAGGCCATAATTATTAATTAAAAAAAAAATAAATAGCTGTTTACACCCCCTTTGAAGTAAAGGCTAAAGCCAGAATCCTTCAAGGGATTATGCACCAAGCTATTTCTGGACCACGTCACTGATTTCATTGGGACTATTCACATTGAATAAAGTTAATTCTGAGTATCTGCCTTGGTAGAAACAGGATCTGCCTTGGTAGAAACAGGATCTGCATATGAAACATCTCAAAGCTACCTACGCAGAGTAACTGGAAATGAGATATATGTGTAAAAAAAAAATAATAATAATTTTATGGAAAACATATTTTTGGTTTTGTACACTGATAAGCTGCTATTGAATTTTTTATTTTTTATTTTTTTTTATGGCAACAGGAAAGCCACTTGCTTGACAGTTCACAGTGATGTTGCATTTTGGTATCTGTAAGTGATGGACCACTCTCACAGAGGGAATGACTGTATCTAAGAAGCACAACTGAAATCAGTTATCATTAGTACACACAAGGTTGTGAATAAAGTAATGGTTTTTGAAAAGACAACATTGCCAAAAGCATTTGGCTTGGCTGGGCAGTATTTTAGTTCTTCTTAACATGTAGGCTAGCTCTGAGAAGCAGAACTCCAACAACCCTAACAACTGAATTTTCACATAACTAAATAGTATCTCTACTATACAAACAGCAATTCCACAACAGCGCAGGTTCATCCAAAAACATGCTGCCTCTGATCTTCCACAGACTCTCAGTAACCCTTGTGCCTCTGGTTTTGTGCAGATTATCTGAGGATTTATTTTCAAGGAACAACAGTTCTAAGGGAGAACCAATTACCTGAGGTGCAGCTTATATGCATGAGAATGCAGAGGCTGGTGATACGCATGCCTCTTCTCCCTTCCAAGGCTGTAAGGGCTCTAGTACAGGAGCAGATAGACCAGAAGAGCAAAATAATCATTCAGAACAGCTTTTACTGGTAGCTTACTCTGTTTCAGCTCAGATAAGTAAGTATCATTCACTGCTACATCTTGGCTAAATTTGCAAGGCTGTTGTCATTTACTTAGGGGTATACTCAATGAAGGATAGTCTTCCTGTGATTTTTCATGACACCAAATGTTGTTCTTTGAGTAATCTCACCGACTTCAGCATCAGGAGGTGAGATGGCTGC